CCTTCCTCTCCAGGAGACGGCGGAGTAAGCGGTCACGGGTGATGGATGCTGATGGCCTGCTGGAGATGTTCCACTGTCCCTACGAGGGCTGCAGCCAAGTGTATGTGGCTCTCAGCAGCTTCCAGGTGAGGCCACCCTGTTGCTAGGTCCAGCTGGCCTGGACCACGTGGCTGCATGGGGGCTCTACTGGAAATCAGTGGTGCGGGCCTGCGTCCATGAACCCATTTCATCCTAGCTGGCCTTGCTGGACATCTGGCTTCCGCAGCCCCCCCTACACCTCCCCATGTAGACACCAGACACAACCACCTGGCCTGACCTGCCTCCCCAGACCACCCTCTCAGTCTTCACAGGAAGACCACCCAAGTCCCAGGGGCCAGCCATGCATGAAGCCCAAAATCCGTACACAACTAGAAATCTTCCTGTAGTTGGCCTTGTGTGGTGTGGATGATATACCCCGGGGCAGACAAGGGTTTCCTCATCCTCCACACAGAAGGCAGCACCAGCAGACCGTTGAATTGCTGAGCATGTAAGCACCCAGGCTGTTGTCATGGGTTAAAGAATGAAATTACAAGAAACAAAATGAATCCAGTCCCCCAGGGCAGTGCAGCGTCTGTGAGGCAGCAGCCAACCACTCTGCCTCTGAGCCTCAGTTTCCTCCTCTGTGTAGTGGGCTAGCAGCAGGAGCCTACCAAGGTTAACTGGATCCCAGAGCTGGGACTGGTAAAGCTGCTCTTTGACCTCAGTGCTCCCGTCCAAGCTGGACACTGGAGTGCCCCTTCCACTTTCCAGTCTAGACAGACTGGCTAATGTCCTGGCTGCCTGCATGTCTTCCCATCTTAAGAGCCCCCAGGTGGGCCCATGGTACCCACTGCTGCCCCTCTCACCCCTAGAACCACGTCAACCTGGTGCACCGAAAAGGAAAGACCAAAGTGTGCCCTCACCCTGGCTGTGGCAAGAAGTTTTATTTGTCCAACCACCTGCGGCGCCACATGATCATCCACTCAGGTCAGGCCCTGGCCCCCACAGGCCAGCTGTAATGCACATGTGTAAATCCCACGCTCTGGAGGCCTGGGCTGCACCATGAAACCCCACATCCCTGTACCCGGTACTGGTTTTCATGTGTAGTTGCCCCAAGTCCCAACAGGGTCACATTCAAGGTCAGCTTAGCTTAGCAGTCGGCACCTTGTGTCAGGAACCACAGCCCTCTTACCTGCTAGGATTCCAGCGGAAACAGTTCAGGGGTGGGGGGTGGGGGGAGCGCGCTCCTTGCAGCCACCTCTACTGGGCGGTGTCCTGAGGCTGCTGCCACCCCCAGGCGTCCGAGAGTTCACTTGTGAGACCTGCGGCAAGTCTTTCAAGAGGAAGAACCATCTGGAGGTACACCGGCGCACGCACACTGGAGAGACGCCCCTGCAGTGAGTGTGGGGGTGCTCGGGAGGGAGGGGACCTGAGCGGCTTGCAGGGGAGTCTCAGCCGGTGGTGACCTGCCCCTGGGCCCTCCTCCCGCCACACAGGTGCGAAATTTGCGGGTACCAGTGCCGGCAGCGGGCATCGCTCAACTGGCACATGAAGAAGCACACAGCAGAGGTGCAGTACAACTTCACGTGTGAGCGCTGCGGCAAGCGCTTCGAGAAGCTGGACAGCGTCAAGTTCCACACACTCAAAAGCCACCCGGACCACAAGCCCACCTGACCTGCCCGCGCCCACGGACCTCAGCCTCTATTTATTTGTACTCTTGGACATCATGCCCAGGGCTGTCAGAGCCCAAGACAGCCACTGGGGCTGCCCCAACCGCAGGCCGGAAGGAGGCATTACCCGCTCGCCCTGGGCAGGTGCCCCACCCTGCCCCCTCACATCCCACCCGGAGCTGGCACCTGGGACTGCACTGCTGAACTGTGTCAAGAGCACAGAGTGAGATTAAAGTGAAGAAGGAGATGTCCTTCCCCGGGCCTGAGTAATTGTGGGGGCTGGGCACCCCTTCATGACCAGTTAACCTGTTCCCATCCTGACCAAGGCTAGATTGGAGGTGGCTGCCCTTGGGTAGCACACAGGGACCTTTCCTGTTAGCCTCTGCTCCCACAGGGTGGGTGTGGGGAACCAGAATCCTGATGCCCGCACCTCCCATATCTCAGAATATTGATTGCTGGCCCGGAGGACTGTGGGAGGAACCAAGCAGTTATCACACACTTGGGGACAGCCAAATGAGACATCTCCACTGGGACAAGCGCTGGGCAGAGGATGGGGTGAGGGTTGGGTTACGGGGGTAGGGGGCTTCGCTGAAGAAGTGGCTTTGTTCTTGTGCCAAAGTGACAAAGAGGATCGATTCCCGTGTGGGAGGATGGCTAGGTGTGTCCTGCCTGGAACAGGACCTGGCCCCACTGAGTGCAGGGAGATCCTGGGGAAGAAGGCGCCACCACCAGGTGGTGCGCCAGCCCTGTGGACCCGGGGTGGTTGCCACCACGTGACCCAAGGGAGCACGGCGCGAGCTCTGGCACGTGCCCCTGGGAGCCCTGCAGCACCACGAGCAGATTGGTCCCGATGGGGTGGCAACAAGACTCAATTTCCGCTTGCGACTCGGGGCTACATCAGCGTGGGGTAGAATTGCGGGGCTGGCCTCAGCGCTCCAAGAGCCCTTCTCTTTACTCGCCCAATAGGAGCCAGCAGTTTCCATGGGAACCGCGGTGGGGCCTTTGCCCCAGGAAGTAGCTTGGCAGCAGACACTGACTCCCAGCCGAAGGGAACGCGGGGGCAGGGCGGGCGGTTGTGAACCATCGTCTGGGTTGGGGGTCCTGCGTCGGCAGCCGAGTTGCTCCACAAACCCCAGAGGAGCCACTTGGGAACCTGCTCTGCCACCGCCCCTTCTGTGTGGGCCACTCTGATTGGCCCGCCCTCTCCAGCACGGCAGCACCTTCGGCGTGTGCTCTCTCATTGGCTCAATCTCCAGGGCATCTTGCAATTGGGTCTCTGGAGAGCCATTCCTGATTGGTTAAATCAGGCTGATTCGCACTCTTCACAAGCCGGATCGTGAAGGGGTGCACAAGAATAAGACCAGGGCGGTGGAGATGGCTTATGGGTAAAGGCGTCTGCCTCTCAAGACTGGCGACCTGAGTTCGATTCCTGGGACCCACATGGTGGAAGATGAGCCCTGAATCCTGAAAGTTGTCCTCTGACCTACACACACACACACAC